ACTTGGGGACGCTTGGGGTTTGTAAGTTGATTCTGTATGTAAGTCGGAACTGGAGGTCAGTTTCAGCAGCGGCTGAATCTGGACGCCAGTTCCGACTTACATACAGATTCAACTTAAGAACAAACCTACAGTCCCTATCTTGTACGTAACCCGGGGACTGCCTGTATTCAAAATGTACAGATAGGCAAACACAGTCAAATATTGCATCAGAATTTATTAGAGTTTGATTTAAAAATATTTACTTTGTACATTATGTGATGAGGACTATTTGTCTCTCAACAATTATAAAGCTTTAATTTTTTTAAATCTAAACATCTATTGTCATTCAATAATTGTCTGACACATCACTCCCCACAATTTCCTACAAAGGCAAACATTTAAATAGATAAAAATAAAAAAATGTTTAAAAATAGATGTTATCCAGAAAAATTATAAAAAATAAAAATGGAAGTCTGCCAAGCATAAGTATATTGCAAGTCCAAACATGAAGCTAGAAAAAAGGCATAAAAATCTTAGCTAGTAACTACTAGCTGAAAGGCTAAGACTACTAGATAGCGTGAAAAAAATGTATGTGTTTGCATGATTCCATCTGCAAACTTGATCAGAAATTATTTTGGGAGTTTTTTCCAGTTAGTTATACAAATATCGATCAGACCTGAACTAACAACTAATCTCTTTAGGGATCTACTAGAAACTTCTCCCTGGCTGTGTCTAAACTGCAGGGTTTTTTCGAAAAAAAGTAGTCTTTTTTTGAAAAAACTTCACCTGTGTCTAGACTACAGCCGCGTTCTTTCGAAATTAAATCAAAAGAATGCGGCTTTTCTTTTGATGGCGGTACTCCTCATTTCACGAGGAAGAACGCCTTTTTTCAAAAGTGCTCTTTCGAAAAAAGGCGTTCTTGAATGCAAACAGGGCTTTTTCGAAAGAGAACATCCAGACTGCCTGGGTGCTCTCTTTTGAAAAAGCGGCTTGCTTTTTCGAAAGTACTGCTTGCAGTCTATACACTCTTTTTCGAAAGAGGCTTGCAGTCTAGACGTAGCCCCTTACTCCTTGAGGATGAATCCATGAACTATTACATTTAGAGATGACAAGTTACGCAGTTAATTAATTAATTTAATATTCACTAAAATCATCTTGAGCATTCAGATATTATCTTCCAACATATGTAAAGGTCATAAAGCAGACTCCATTAATACATCATGCCTCTCACACTGCACCATACCAGTGGCATTAAATCCCAAAGTTAGAAGCCCAGAAGAAAGTATATTTTAATCAAGCTTTTATATTTAATAGTAAACAACTACCTAATCCATATCTGGGTACTAATTAATAGCTGAAATGAGCAGCTAGCCAGTGATGGTCACTATGGAACATCAACTCTTTCTAATTTACTATTACTACTTCCACCAGTCAAGGACTCAGTGATGAGGCTTCACCCAACCCTGACAAAGCACCAGGGTCAGTCCTGCCCCAGAAAACACAGGAATGTGTACCTACCAGGTACGGGTGGGCAAGCTCCACCAAGCAAGATCCAAGTGTGGAGGGACTTAGTGTGGAATGAGGATCGAAGTGTGGGGTAAAGAGGTTCTATGCGGGACAATGGGTGAAGGCGTCTCAGTGGGAGACCTGGATGCAAAGGGAGTTGACAAAGCACCAGGGTCAGTCCTGCCCCAGAAAACACAGGAATGTGTACCTACCAGGTACGGGTGGGCAAGCTCCACCAAGCAAGATCCAAGTGTGGAGGGACTTAGTGTGGAATGAGGATCGAAGTGTGGGGTAAAGAGGTTCTATGCGGGACAATGGGTGAAGGCGTCTCAGTGGGAGACCTGGATGCAAAGGGAGTTCT